GCCAGCCTGGGCTAAAGCGAAAGTGTCTTTCCAGATGGCCCCAGCTACAGGGAGGTGGTGGGAGCCCTGCCCCGGCGGGAGGTGCTCGCGGCTCTGCCCGCAGGGAGACCCTCATGGTAGGCACAGGGGGCAGGGCCACCATCCTGCTTCTGCCACTCCTGGCCCTGGAGCCAAGGGCTGCGCCTGCTTGCTGTGCCCTCCTGGAGGGCAGGATCCACCCCTGCCTGGCCCTGCGATGGCCATGCTGACCCTGGCACCCCGTGGGTCACCAAGGGGTGGCAGGGGCTGCTCCATGTGCTGGTAGCCGAATGTGGGGGCAGGGGTTGGGGATGGGGTGCCCCTTGCCAGGCTGGGGACCCAGGCACCAGTGCTTGGTGCCAGCTCAGCAGCTGCTTCTCTTCCCAGCTGGGTGCCTGTGTCTTGCTCTGGGGAGAGGACGGACCCCTCTGTGCTGCCCTGGGGACATGCTAGGGCCCCTTGTGCCAGTGGCAGGAGAGTCCAGAAGGTCCAGGCCAGCACGTGGTGGGTCACCCCAGCAGCTGCAATGGCTCCTAACCTGTCCCTTCCCTCCCGACCCCGCAGATACTGTCTGCCTGCAGGGGCTGAGCGGAGCGGGGACCCCCTACGGCGGGACAGAGAGCATGGAGGAAAGGATCCGGAGCGGCACCCTCAACTGAGCAGGGCCAGTGTCCTCGGCCACCGTGGTGTTCACGCCGCTGAGCTCTGCCTGGAGGGACCCCCACGGCAGGGGACGGCACTGGGACAGGGGCCCAGGGCTCTGGGGGGGGGGGGGCTGGGCCCCTGCCCTGTCTCCCTGTCACCTTGCACTGGAGTCGTGTGTGTGTGTGTGTGTGTGTGTCCCACCCCCATGCCCTGCCTGGGGACTCGTGAAGGATAATCACCCCGTGCTTGCACAAGTGTAACACTAGAAGGCCCTGGGCTGGGCTGCGGGGGTCGGCCCCAGCACGGGGAAGGGGTGCCCAGCCCTCGGTTTTAACCTGCTTTTGTAAGGTCAGTATGTACAAACAGCACTTTTTAAAAGAGGGAAAAAAAAAAAGAAGCAACAAAGCACCTCTAACCGTGGATGAATGCCCTTGGTGTCTTCCCTGCGCCCCTCCCTGCTTGGGCAGGACCCTCAGGGCCCGGGCTCTGCCTCTGGG